TTATATATTTGATCAGTCAAATATTAGCAATTAACACATCCTTATTTACATCAAATAGTAAAGCTAAAAAGAAGAAGAAAAAAGAAGAAGCTCAGAAACTGCCCGAGGTGTCTAAAGATACATTTTACAATATCGCAGTGGACTTAAAAGAAGCACTTGCATCTACAAAACAGGATGAAAAAACAGAAATAATACCATGGGACCAACATGATGCTGCTGAAGAAACCCCTTCAACTGATATGCCAAAATTCAATGCTGAAGAGCAAGAAGGAAACAGGGGTTTTACCTTTTCCTTTTTTGGTGATGAAGTGGCAAGATCACCTATTAAAGAAGGTATCTTTAACCGTAATCTCAATATTTCAAACACATGTTTTTGCATTAGCACCCTTTGAGATCTGATCACTGTGTCGCAATTTGTGTGGGTATTTTCTTTAAAGTGGTTTTATTTTGATGAGAGATGTATAGAAACATGTTATACCAGTTCTGTACTACCTGCCCTCGTTGCTAGGCTTAATGGATGGAAATGATCCATAATATTACACATTTGCTAATGTTTCATAATATTTGCTCATATCTAAACATTGCTTCTATATTTTATTTCTACAGAACTTTAATATTACCCAGAAATATTATAAACATACCAGGACCATCAGAAATATGTGTTCAACAGCTTTTCTATGGTTTTTACAGTGGTATCAGATTGAAGCCATTGGTGCCTATTTATTACCTTTCATATTACTGTGACCTGGTTGTGAATAGGACACGGCCCGGTAGTGTGTCATAGGTCACAACCAACTCTCTTAATTCCATTTAGACCTGTCAATTGTCAATTGATTCAGCTAAACGTCTTAGTTATTGTGGTTTATTATGGTTTATGATTGCATTTTCTAGGCAACTAGAAAATAGATTATTTATTTATTCTTTAAATTTATTTGCCACCTATCTCATTGTGTGGATATTGCGTGACTTACAACAATAAAACAGAAAAAAAGATAAATGTAAAAATATTAAATATTTTAGGAATTCAATATTAAAGGAATAAAACAATAAAAATAAACATATTGATATAAATATGTTAACTATTCATAACCAACAATATGCCAATCCAGCTTTTGCACACTTGAGACCAATATCTAAGAAACGAATTAATATGTATAATCTGGGCACTAATTATTTTGGTTTGCAATACTGTCCTGCTTTACAAAATGCATTTTCAGTATTAGAATTCTTCCTACATACCGTTTCTATTGTAAGATGATGTGGTTGTAAAGCAAGTCATCAAGCTACTGGACCTGATTTTACAATCATGTTTTACTGTGCTTGTTAAGTGAATCACTGTGGTTGTTAGACTAATCACATGGTTAAGTGAATCCAGCTTCCCCAATTGATGTTTTTTTTTAATATTGGAAAGCAGCTTTTAAGTTTGCAAATCATGATCACGTGACCTCAGGAATCTGCAACTGGTTGTAAATGCAAACTGGTTGCCAAACGCACAGATTGTGGTCATGTGAATGTAGGGATAGTGCAACCATCATAAATGTGAAGCTAGGTTGTACATCACATTTTATAAATTTGAACGGTTGTTAAGCAAATTGTTTTAAGCTGAGGGCTATCTGTAAATTTTTTTTTATATTGAAATGGATGGGTCTTGCTTTCCTCTTTTACAGATCCGTACATAATTGAAATATTAAAACCATCAAGAGTTTCCTGGCAAGAAGATCCCCGTTTTCAAGATAGTAGTTCAGAAGATGAAGAATCAGAAGCAACTGAAGTACAAGATGTCAAAGAAAGGTAAATTATATTTCNTCTAGCAGTAGCCTGCAGTGCTGCATTTAACCACTGCGCCACCTTGGCTCATAAATGTATGAAGGAAGAGTGATAGGATGGTGAAGATTGGTGAAATTTGTGGTTGTGTGGAATTAATGAGCTCTTTGGAAAGAAAGAAATTTAAAGAAAAAAATTATATATATAAAACTGATTTTGATAGAAACTAAGATAGGCATGGAGAGGTGAATAATTTTGATATAAAGTAGATTTAACTGTATGTTCTTTTCTTATCCTGTACCTTTAAATTTTTTGTCCTACTATTTCTTATTCTGCTTCTACACATATTGCTTCCCAAAGGGAATAGAATGATGAAAATGTATGTATGAATCTAATGAATTTGAGTCTGATCCACACAAAATGATACTATTATTCTCAATTTTATAAGATGCCACAAGACCCTTTAATTATTGCATCTGTTTCTTTTCCCTCCTTGATTTTATATCATCTATGTTCCTAATAATTCTTAGTTAACTGTTACTGTAATTTTAGCAAATTCAGTCAACAAATAAACAGAAGCACATCGTGTTTGATTCAGATAATGAAAATGAAGTACAAGAGCATGCTGAAGAAGAATCTTCAGGAAAGATCCCAGTAAAGGTGAGCAAACTAGAAGGGAATTTATTCTATCCTTAGAGATTATCTTTACGTCTCCACAAAAATTTTCTGTAGCTAGTGGTTGAAGAAAAAAATTCACATATCCACTAATTTTAAATTATAATTGCCTCTAAAGATATAGTCAGAACACTTAAAAAGAAAGGGGAGGAAGAAAATAAATAAGTTTAACAATTGTATAGAAGAGCGAGGCTGAGTTAAGACACAAATAAGTATAAAATAACTTAATTAAGATACTTAACAAAATGTAGCACTGCTACACTGCTCTGCTACACTATTGTTAAAATAGTAACACTGTTTAACAACAGGCCTGTTCTCCCAAGTTGGGGTGAAGAAATTCTGCAAGATTCCATTAAATTGGAAATCATTTGAGTTTTTCTTTTAAAACGGAACAGACAAAATTCTGTTAGTTTCAGCAAACAGTTTAGGTAACAAGCAGGTACCATCTATCTCAACCATTACCATCCTATTTATGGTGGAAGAGAATGGCTTGGACCATGGTTAAGGGAGGAAGAAAAGAGATTTTGGGAGGGGTGGGGAGAATAGTTTCTTCACGTCTTATCTTGCTATAGCTGGTGGTGTACTTGCTGAAAACATTTGGGGTTACCCCGAGAATGAGTTTGTTGAAATGAAATGTGTGTTCATTTCTGTGCCCAAGGAATTCACCCCCAAAATTTCTGGGAAGCTGTTTGAGAGCAGTGACGAAGAATCAGACACTGTAGCTGACGAAAATGATCGGTTCAAAATCAAACCTCAGTTTGAGGGAAAAGCTGGAGAGAAGGTTGGTACACTTATTTTAGTGTATTATTTTCATGGCTTCTTATAATTCTGGAATAATTTATCTTCATGTAGAAGACTTACACAGCCATATATTTTGGTGTTTAAGCCAGGCAGGCTCTCAAAGTGTTCCTAATATTGTGTACAGTTTCCAGCAGTTTTATCCAGCATGTAAACACCTGGGAAGTCACATGCTTCTGTCTCTAAGGTTCGGATATAAATCATGTTCATTTCATCAGTTTTTGTCTTGCATCATGTAAGCATTTTTCTATAAGCCAGTCTTTCTCTACAATGAACAATTTTGTGTCCCCTGGTTTCTCTTTATTTCTTCCAAAAAATGTATCACCAAGTAAAGAATATCCCAAAATTGCTTTTCAAAAGGCAACTGGACTTTCTTGGGTTTTTTTTTCTTCTTCTTGAAAATGTTTGGCTTCTCGCCCAAGAAGTGTCTTCAGTTCACTTCCTCAGTTACAGAACTAAAGAAACTTCTTGGATGATAAACATTTTCAAGGAAAAAAACCAAGAAAGTTCAGCTTTTGGAAAAGCAACTTTGGGACAACCATGACCTGGATGATTGAGAATATCCATAGATAAGAAATAAAGGAGAAACATGAAAAGGGGCAAACCTGAAAGAGGTACACAAGGATTAAAAAATGTTTATGCTTATGACTTTGGTTTACCAAGGAAAATTCAAGAGCAAAACCAAGAAAAACACGTTACAAAAATAGCTATTCTAGAAAAAAAAATCTGTTCTGAAAAAAATAATTGCAATGAAGAATGTAATCCCTCTGTTACTCTTTCTTGTTGCAGCTTATGCATTTACAGTCACATTTTGGCACAGATGAAAGATTTCGTATGGATACTCGTTTCCTTGAAAGTGATAGTGACCAGGAAGGTAAGATATACAGCATTCTGTTAATAGCTAGTAGAATGCTTGCAAGACTTTGTTACAATAAACTTCTTTTTATAATTCCTTTGAATATTTATTTTGCAGTAATTCCGCTGCATGGATCAAAAGGTCCCTCAAAAACATTTTACACTAACTTAAGGTATACAGTGTAAAGAGGAGTAACATATGTTTCCCTTGAAAAGGGAAAAAAACACTAAGTATATTAGCATATTTACATCTACATTTTTTATACTTTGTACTTAACAGAGTCAAACTCAAAATATAAAAAGATATTTCACAGAATCTCTTCGAAACTTCTTCCACTGTAAACTGGTAATGATGAAAAATGTTTGAACATAGATATGTGTTTTAATTATATTTGGCTATGAATTATTTTAGAAGATGACCTGAGACCTTCTAGTTGTTTTGGTGGCTATACCTCCTGTAATACATTACTGTTCTGACCCCCACCTTGTTCGTTCAGAAACGACAGCCAGACAGAACTTCAAAGGAAATACTTTTATCAGTCCCAGCTCGGGCTAGCTGCAAGCCCAAAATAAACACAGATAAATTCTCTGGCAAAACGTTAAGCAGCAATTGCAAAAACAAACTCTTACAGTAAACCACTTCTCCAAGTTGGTTTCTCTGAATCATGAACACGAACAGGGAACGTTGACTAAAACAGGAACGGAATGAAC